GATACAAATCACGTCTCATATGTTGCTGGTCAAGATGCATTATGGGTAATGACGCTGCTAGGATTTACCATGGGATAGAAACACCCTGTATCTCTGGTTCTGCTGCATCGATTTTCCTTCATTTTGTGTTTGGTCTGACAGGAAAACAAGACCGTGAGGCCAACTAAGACGAAGAGATGGAACTATTTGTTTGTAACTTTCTGAGAGAATTCTTCTGAAAAGTCACAATACCTTCAGGAATATAAGTAAAGGCGAGGCTGGTGTGTTTGTAGTGGGCTTCACACGGCGGTATGCCAACATTTGGACCCCTCCGAGGGGCTTTGATGGACACTGGGTAGTACAGAGGTTGCTGAAATGTCACAGTTGAAAGAGGTGGACTGAAAGAGAATAATGATGATGTTTGGGTTTCACTGAGGACCTCGTGATGTGGCTCTGGGACTGAGTAGAGACACTACATACTGATATACACCTGAACATCAGCAGGAGAGAACTCTTTAAAGTAGAGACACTACATACTGATATACACCTGAACATCAGCAGGAGAGGACTCTTTAAAGTAGAGACACTACATACTGATATACACCTGAACATCAGCAGGAGAGAACTCTTTAAAGTAGAGACACTACATACTGATATACACCTGAACATCAGCAGGAGAGGACTCTTTAAAGTAGAGACACTACATACTGATATACACCTGAACATCAGCAGGAGAGGACTCTTTAAAGTAGAGACACTACATACTGATATACACCTGAACATCAGCAGGAGAGGACTCTTTAAAGTAGAGACACTACATACTGATATACACCTGAACATCAGCAGGAGAGGACTCTTTAAAGTAGAGACTCTACATACTGATATACACCTGAACATCAGCAGGAGAGGACTCTTTAAAGTAGAGACACTACATACTGATATACACCTGAACATCAGCAGGAGAGAACTCTTTAAAGTAGAGACACTACATACTGATATACACCTGAACATCAGCAGGAGAGGACTCTTTAAAGTAGAGACACTACATACTGATATACACCTGAACATCAGCAGGAGAGGACTCTTTAAAGTAGAGACTCTACATACTGATATACACCTGAACATCAGCAGGAGAGGACTCTTTAAAGTAGAGACACTACATACTGATATACATCTTAACATCAGCAGGAGAGGACTCTTTAAAGTAGAGACTCTACATACTGATATACACCTGAACATCAGCAGGAGAGGACTCTTTAAAGTAGAGACACTACATACTGATATACACCTGAACATCAGCAGGAGAGGACTCTTTAAAGTAGAGACTCTACATACTGATATACACCTGAACATCAGCAGGAGAGGACTCTTTAAAGTAGAGACACTACATACTGATATACACCTGAACATCAGCAGGAGAGAACTCTTTAAAGTAGAGACACTACATACTGATATACACCTGAACATCAGCAGGAGAGGACTCTTTAAAGTAGAGACACTACATACTGATATACACCTGAACATCAGCAGGAGAGAACTCTTTAAAGTAGAGACACTACATACTGATATACACCTGAACATCAGCAGGAGAGGACTCTTTAAAGTAGAGACACTACATACTGATATACACCTGAACATCAGCAGGAGAGGACTCTTTAAAGTAGAGACACTACATACTGATATACACCTGAACATCAGCAGGAGAGGACTCTTTAAAGTAGAGACACTACATACTGATATACACCTGAACATCAGCAGGAGAGGACTCTTTAAAGTAGAGACACTACATACTGATATACACCTGAACATCACCAGGAGAGGACTCTTTAAAGTAGAGACACTACATACTACTCTTTAAGCTAATAAACAAATAAAACTCAGCTCAAATCAAAGGCTGCCTATTTCTTCCCTTTAAAATGCTCCACATTTCAAAGGGAAGGCCACTGAGCTCAGTCACACACGCAGGACATATATAGGAACATGGATATCAGGATGTGGTTACCGTGGTAACATAAAGAGTCACCATAGCATCTCTAAGTAGCGTGCTACCTTTACAGACCAGTGGAAGTGGAGAATCAGTGCATCGATTTCACTCCCTAAGCTTTCTCTCTATATGTCCATACACACACACACACACACACACACACACACACTCCTGGATCAAAGAGGTGTGTGTGTGTGTGTGTGTGTGTGTGTGTGTGTGTGTGTGTGTGTGTGTGTGTGTGTGTGTGTGTGTGTGTGTGTGTGTGTGTGTGTGTGTGTGTGTGTGTGTGTGTGTGTGTGTGTGTGTGTGTGTGTGTGTGTGTGTGTGTGTGTGTGTGTGTGTGGTGTGTGTGTGTGTGTGTGTGTGTGTGTGTGTGTGTGTGTGTGTGATGTGTGTGTGTGTGTGTGTGTGTGTGTGTGTGTGTGTGTGTGTGTGTGTGTGTGTGTGTGTGTGTGTGTGTGTGTGTGTGTGTGTGTGTGTGTGTGTGTGTGTGTGTGTGTGTGTGTGTGTGTGTGTGAGAAGGTAGTCACTTTCTAT